ATGCAGTTTTAAATTTTCTTAATATTCCTAGTAAGTCCCCATGATCATCTTGTGTCCTTCAAGAAACTCTACCAATTTTACCCCTTTGGAGTCCCTAAAACGTGCTTTGCTGGCCTCTCTACCTTGAATTTAACTGGCCCAGCAGAGCCCCTTGGAAACCACTGTTTTGATTGGACTCTAGATTGTATCGGTAAATTCAAGACTTGTCCCCTGGTATTGATTCATTCCATAAAATTATTTTCATTAGCTTCAATCTTGCTTTAAAAACTGATGGAACTAAGAATCAATGGGAATACACGCTCTGATAGGTGACTGCGTTCGTCACCAATAAGGGGAAGTGAAGGAAAAACAGCAATGAAGCTGCGAGCTACGCCCTACAACATTCAATAGACTCCTGTGAACCCAGTTGGAGACCTGGTTGGCCAGCAGTGTGGCAAGACCTGGGGACTCTTGGGCCCAGAGTCAGTGACATAGCCACAGAGGACTAGAGTGGAGAGTGAAGCATCCGGCTGATAAGAAGAGAGGGCATATACACAAGAACACCCACACTTGCAGATAATACCCACTTGACCTCGCTTCAATAACTGGATGATCAGAGCTCAACTAGAAGAAGAAAGAAGAGGATAAAAAGAGTGTTGTTGTTGTTAGGTGCAATCGAGTGGGTACCAACCCATTGCGACCTTATGCAGAGCAGAACGAAACACTGCCCAATCCTGGGCCAACCTCACCACTGTTGCCACGTTTGAGTCCATTGATGCTGCCACTTGGCTAATCCATCTTGTTGGGGTTCTTTTTTTCTCTGACCCTCCACCTTACCAAACATGGTATCCTTCTCCAGCAACTGGTCCCTCCTGACAATATGTCCAAAGTATGAGAGAAAGAGTAGCCATCTTGGCCTCCAAGGAGCATTCTGGCTGCACTTCTTCCAAAACGGATCTATTGGTTCTTTTGGCAGCCCATGGCACTTTTTTCAATATTCTCCTCCATCACCATAACTCAAAAGCATCAATTTCTCTACGGTCTTCCTGATTCACCGCCTAGCTTTTGCATGCATATGAGGTTATTGAAAATACCATGGCTTGGGTTAGGCACACATTACTCCTCAAGCTGACATCTTTGCTCTTCAACACTTTAAAAAGGTCTTGTGCAGCAGATTTGCCTAATGCAATATGTCGTTTGATTTCTTGACTGCTGCTTCCTTTAGTGTTGATAGTTGATCCCAAAAGAATGAAGTCCTTGACAACTTCAGTCTTTTCTCCATTGATAAGAATGTTGTTTATTGGTCCAGTGGTGAGGATTTTTGTTTTCTTTACATTGAGATGTAATCCATACCGAAGGCTGTGCTTTTTTATCTTCATCAGTAAATGTTAAAATCCTCTTCACTTTCAGCAAGCAAGGTTGTATCATCTGCATATTGCGGGTTGTTAATGAGTCTTCCTCCAATCCTGATGCCACATTTTTCTTTATAGAACCTAGCTTCTGGGGTGATTTGTTCAGCATACAGGTTGAATAAGTCTGGTGAAAGAAGAACCTCGTCGCACACTTTTTTTTTTTTTTTAAATTTTAAAACATCTAGTTTTAAACCTACACCTATGGATGCAGTAGCTCAAAAGAGGAAACAAATCTTTACAACAAGGATCATTCCCACCCCATCTATACACAGAGTAGACAGGGATGGGCATCTTGGCTACCCAAAGTGGGGGGCTACAAAGGTAAGAATTGACTGGCTTACAAGCTCTCAAGAGGGAACCTAGATCCAGAGGGCATGGAGGAAGGTAGAATCTCCACTGAGTAGTATCCAATCTGTTCAGGTGAGGCTGATGAAAGAAAATGCGGATAGGTCTATTGTGATACGATAGTGAATAATTGTTATCAGGACTGATTGTGAGGGTTGGAAATGTAAAGGTAGATATTTTGTAGCAAGGAGGGGAGTGATTAACTTTTCAGTGTAGTACTGGAGGTCCTTGGAACCATCAAGGGAGACGAGCAGAAAGTGGAACCCTACCCAGAGAAGCAGTGATGCCAGAGATGGAAGCAGAGACAATGATGTGGAAAGATGGAGCGGCTGGGGACCCAGAGAGGGAGAGGGGCTGTGTGCTGACGACGGTGGGGGCGGCGGCAGGCTTGCAGGGTATACCCTTTGCTTGGTTGATGATGCATGGAGGGGATTGTAACCATGGCAATGAAATGATATACGATAGGATGAATGTAAAATTAATGTTCTCCCATGTAAACTATCACATAATTCACAATAAAACATTAAAAAATAAAAAACTGATGAAAGATTCAGTTCTTGAAGCTATCTGATCTTTGTACACCACTTTTGGCATCCACTGAGTCAAAAGCTTGCTGATGTTCACTTAAAATTGAAAATGCTAAATTTCTTAAATGGTATTACGTGGTCTTCTACCATTTCCTGAATTTAGTCACAGTTTCCTCATACATAGAGATTAGAGGATGACAGTCTTCTCTCTCTTGGATCATCTTTGAGGTTTTTCCAACCTTTCTTAAAATACTTGATCCATCTAAAAACTGTTCTTTTATGTGGGGCAGCATTCCAGTAAACTTGTTGCAAAGTCTCAGTCATTTAGGAATATATACACTTGAATTTTGTTGAAAATTTGATATTAACCCTGACCTCAAAAATAGTTTTTTTCCATGGCACAAAAAGTATCATTCTCTTTTTTTGAAGGCACTTTTATGAGACTAAGACAAGTGTATTACAGAGAGAACTTGTCTGTAACCATCTACTGATTACAAAGACATGTTTCGGCATATTTTGTTTGGAGTAAGTCCATGCACATATAAACTGGAACCCTAGTAGTGGTACTTTAATTGCCTTCATATTCTGGGAATTTCAGGTATTGTAAGAATATGTTAGTTCTGTAGGTTATGATTAAGGAATACAACAGAGGCCATAGTCATTAGAGTTGGATTGCAGAATGTTTGGTATGTCACCAAGGGGATGGGAATGGAAATACAGGATCCTTGTACAGCTTGGGGAAATCGAGAAGCTTACATAGCACTTACAACCTGTTCTCCTGGCTTAGGCTGAGCCCAAGTGAGAAATAAAGCTGAGAAATAGCTTAAAACAAACAAAAATACTGAGTGCTTATTCTGTTTTAGATTGTGGAGACAGCAGCAATATAGAAATAACAGTAGTTGTAATAAAAACTATCAGTACTTACTGGGCACTAAATATGTACCAGGCATTGTGCTGAGAGGTTGACAAGTATTTTCTTATTGAATCCTAAACCTATGAATTTGGGGGGCTCTTACATCCCAATTTTATAGTTGAAGAAAATGAGTTTCAAAGTTAGTAAATAAGTGACTTTTCTGAAGGTCACACACTTACCTACATCTTAAGATGTTGAAGGTAAACAAACAGAACAGTGCCTGGTATGTAATAAGTGCTCAATCTATGCTAGCTGCTGTTGTTATTATTACTGACGCCCTGAACAAAGACCAGCTAGCCCCTGCTAGGGCACATCTCACAGAAGGGATGGATATAACTCATTTAGTAGGCAGAGGATATTGGGAACATTTTAGACAATACTACCAGCATTTTTAAAGACACAGTTTTATTGTAATTATCCATTTCTGTGTAATAAACTACTTCAAAATTTAATGGCTTAAAACATTTGCCATTTTATTTGCACCTATTTCTGGGAGTCAGATATTTGAGCTGGGCTTATCTAGGTGGTTTTTCTCTGGTTCCACACATCTCTCAGGCCAAAGCAAGTTGCAAGGCCAGGCTAGATTCAAGAGAGGAATTAGACTCCACCTGTTAATGGAAAGACCTGCAAAGAATTTGTGACCTTTTAAAAATCTACCACAAATGTAAGAGGGCAGGATGAATTTAGGGTGTGTTACTTAGCCCCTTTGGCTTTTTCTTTTGCCTCAATAGTATTTCCTCCAAAATTAATTAAGCGAGGTCCTTTCTTTGTTATTCTTACCCTGCCATGAATATTATCTGTTTTTTCATAGAACAAAGATAAAATAAAATGTGTATTAAAGTGAAAATCAGAAAAGCTTTACCAAGAATTAATGAATTGAATTTTTAAAACTTTTAATTACAAAACAAAAAATAGCTATAGTTTAACTTACTTTTGAATATCTTCATGAACATGAACTAGTTTAACAGTGACTAGAGAAATCGTCAGGGTCTTGGTTTTAATGAGTAGAACAGGATTATGTGTTGTTACCACATCAGTTGTGTTAATATTTAAATATCTTGATGTTAAAATGTAAGCATTTTAATGTAGAGTCATTTAAAATCTTGATCATAGTATTAATTTTCTAGGTAAAATGTTTAAATCCATCTCTGGGAAGATAGCCATCTACAACCACCTTTTAGAATGGTCTGAAACCTGAATTAATGGATGATGGCTTTGCCTCTTTATTCAATCATTTTTTTGTAGTGCTCAGCAGACATAAATGTTATTTCCTCTGAGGTGTATTAGTTCATAATTCTCCACAGTGTGCTTTTAATTCTGCTTTCCATTCTGAAAGAGTTCTTAACCTTTGTTCATTAATCATGGGAAACAGTTGTGCGACATGCCTTGACATTCAGTTGAACATCTAAAATTAGTCCTGCTATAGCCAGTGGTTGTGAAGAAGGTTTTATTAGTTTGTGGCATGTGTTAAGTAGACATTACAAAGTTGAAAGGAACTCCTTAGAAATAAGTAAGTGATTTGTGTTGTGTTTGTGTGCTCATGTACATATAAAATTGAAGGTCTTTTTATTAAGCTGATAAGCAAATTAAATCTTTTTTGATTAAGTTCTTTATATGCTGTACCAAGTAATTTTATATATGCACTATGCTGCTTAATCTGTCATTTCAAAAGAAATATTTATTGAAAACTTAGTATGATAGAACAGATTTGTCTGCATGTTTATATGTGACTTTCATTTTTAAAAAGGAATAACTATATTACAAATACTATATTTCAAGCAGTGACTTTTTCTTTTCAGATTTTAAAGAAATCTGCTCAAGAAAATGGCATCCTGGTTATATGAATGTCTTTGTGAAGCTGAACTTGCACAGTATTATCCTCATTTTACTGCTCTCGGCCTTCAGAAAATAGATGAATTAGCCAAGGTTACAATGAAGGACTACTCCAAATTGGGAGTCCGTGACATGAATGACCGCAAGCGTCTCTTCCAACTTATCAAAATTATTAAGATTATGCAGGAAGAAGATAAAGCAGTCAGTAGCCCAGAGTATCCTCTTCAGACAAGTGGTCTGTATATCAAGCCTCCAAAATCCAGCTTGGGCCCTCGCAGGCAACTGCATTTTGATTCTCCTGTTGACAACAAAGACAAAGCTGCCAGCAACTGTGGGTTTGAAATGTGCAATTTATCAGATTTTTCTGCAAATGAACAGAAGTCCAGTTGCCTAAAATCGCTGGAGCACATGCTACCAGATGATTCCCAGTACCATACAAAGACAAGAATTCTGAACGCCACAGCTGCTGATTCCTATGTGCAAATGGAAATGAACGCTTCACTCTTTTCATCAAATCATTTTTCTCCATTACTGGGGGATGGTGATATTCCCATTATACAAAAAGTCTCTAATGTTTCAGGGTATAACTATGGAATCCCTCATTCTTGTATCAGGTAATTATTTATATATTCATTCATGTAACTATTTAGTTAATTATTTTGTGGGAGGGCAGCATCAGGAAAGGGCTGGCCTCTCCTTCATGACCAAAGCAGAGCAACTACTCCTGATTTGCAATAAATGAATATGACATCGAAATGACTGTGAATAGCTTCTGCCTCAATAATAGAAACACCATGATGGGGGAAATTCATGAGGCATTAAGATTTTCCATATGGAAGGAAGAGGATATTGTTCATGTACAAGTAGCAGCTGCTACTTGCCAGGACCTGCTAAGAGTAGGCAGATGTATTTTTTTCCTATTATTTCTTATGGTGTAGCATGATGTAGCTATTGTATCTACACTGGGAAATATATATATATATATATATACAGTGCATAGGATTTTGGAGGTTTTTTTAGGCTATCAAATTCACTTAAACCAACTAGGAGACTTAAAGCTTAGTGAAAACAACAAGCATGTAGTTGAATTAAGTAGGTCTTTGGGCAGTTCTGCACATACTGAAACAAGATCTGATTCTGAGTACTTTCTACAATTTCAGCCCTCAAAGAACAGATGTTTTTGGTGATTGCAAAACATAAGGCACTTATGGTTAAATTGAGTTTGAGAGCTAAGGTGGTAAAATAAGTTATTTTCACCTTTGTAGAGCTTCAAGTTAGAATTTAATGTAAGGTTCATAAGAGGTGAAATGTTGTGTAATCCCTAATGCTTCTTTCATGGTATAATAGGAAATATGTTATTTGCTTGTTTTATATTTAGAAAGTAAGCGATGTAAGTTATGAGAAAAACAAAACATATTTTCTTTTTATATTATTTTTTCAAGGCTGTTATTCATACCTTAATATAAAATATTTACATTTAGTTTTTTTTTGTTTTTTTGAAGCATATTGTTGTTGTTGAGTACTGTGGAGTCGGTTCTGACTCATAGTGACCCTGCACAGGGTTTCCAAGGCTGTAAATCTTTATAGGGGCAGAACGCCTCATCTTTCTCCTGTGGAACCATTGGTAGTTTCAAACTGCTTTATTTTGAGTTATGTGATAGTTTACATGAGAGAACATTAGCTTCACATTGATCCCATTGTATATCGTTTCCTTGCCACGGTTACAATCCCCTCCGTGCATCATATGCATCATCCACCAACCACAGGGTACACCCCACACCCCCCATCCCCCGGTCATAAGCACACAGGCCCTCTCTCTCTTCGGGTCCAAAGTTCCCAGCCGCTCCATCTCTCTGCATCGACGTCTGTGCCTCCATCTCTGGCATCACTGCTTCTCTGGGTAGGGTTCTGTTCTCCGCTCTTCTCCCTTGATGGTCCCAGAGACCTCTGCTCCTAGACTGCAAAGTTAATCCCTCCCCTCCTTTTGCTACAAAACGTCTACCTTTGCATTTCCAGCCCTTACAATCAGTCCTGATAACAATTATTCACCACTGTATTGCAAGAGATCTATTTGCATCTTCTTTCTTTGGCCTCGCCTAAACAGATTGGATACTACTCAGTGGAGATTCTACCTTGCACCACACTCTGTGGATCTAGGTTTCCTCTTGAAAGCTTGTAAGCCAGTCACTTCTTGCCTCTGTAACCCCCCCTCCCCTCCATTCTGGGTAGCCAATGTCCAAGTTTCCCATCCCTGTCCTCTCCTTGTGTGGAGGGGGTGGGAGTGATCCTCAATGTGAAGATTTGTTCCCTCTTTTGAGCTACTGCATCCATAGGTGTAGGTCAAGTTCATCAAATTGTATCAGATTATTCTCTTTTTCCTCTTCTTTCTTTTTCTGGTTGAGCTCTGATCATTCAGCCATTGAAGCCAGGTCAGGTGGGTATTATCTGCAAGTGTAGGTGTACTTATGTATGTGCCCTCTCTTCTTATCAGCTGGACGCTTCACTCTCCACTCTAGTCCTCTGTGGCTATGTCACTGACTCTGGGCCCAAGAGTCCCCAGGTCTTGCCACATTGCTGGGTTCACAGGCGTCTACTGAACGTTGTAGGGCTTATTTACATCTAGTTTTATATTGGCTAAAGCTTCAGGAGATCTCATAAGTATCTCTTTTATTCAAAAAAGTAGAAGACCCAATTTTAAAGATAAAAGTACTTTCAGTAATATGAAATACATAAGTAAATTTTATAGTGTTCCTAAAAACTTTGTTTTAGAGGAAGGGATAATTAGTTTAGCTGAGCACAGAGCATATTTTTTTTCTTTTACTAGTGAGGGGCCTAGATTGCTCCATGAATATCAAAGCCAAGATTGTACTTTTATTGGCTAGCTCAGTGGTGAAAGAGTGATCAAGTTCTTAACTATCACAGTTTTTACTGTATAACATAAATATCTAAATTGGAATTGTTTTATAAATATAATAATATATAAGATACCACTTTCATTATTTAATATCAAGGGCAGAGTGGATATTTTAGTTTAATACTGCCTTTTCACTTATTTGGAAGATATTAAATGTCTGCTAGGCACAACTCTAGATGCTATGAGTAAAACATGATTAGGCTATATGGAGGCTCTTAGATTTAGGAGGTGGGTTGAGGGGGAAAACAGACATAAGCAAATTATTACTGTAGTGTAACAGAAGTGTTTTTATAAACGTTTGTACATGACTAACTCAGAATAAGGCTGTTCAACTGAACTTGCTCATCTTTTATATCATTTCACTCTCCCTGTTCTGGTGTGGCACTGTAGGATAAGTACTGAACCCTGAGGTCGCCTTGAACTGCAAGGTTGGCGGTCCAAACCCACCAGCTACTCCTTGGAAATCCTATACTGGATTGCTATGAGTTGGAACTGACTCAATAGCACACTACAACAACATTCTTTATTACATTAGAGAAGTAGAGAAAATAAAGTACATTTCACCCGTCATCTTCAGTATTATCTTCTCACCCAAACTCCAAGCAGGAGTCAGGGTTTTGGAACCCTAGGAACCCCCACATCAACTTAAGGCTTGCTGTTAGGAAGACATCCTGTCCATAGAGCATTCTCTCTCTACCTGATATCAGGCATATACTTTTCAGCAAATTTTCCAAAAATTTACAAGAGGTTGCTGGCTTTAGAATTAATAAATGTCTAAAGCATTTAGAGAACTGATTGTCATGACTTACTTAAGATCTTGAACTTGAAAACGATAGGATTTTTGTCCATGTGGCACCCTGGTGACACCCTGGTTAACCTCTCAACTGCTACTCAAAAGTTGGTGGTACCAACCCACCAAGTGTTCTGTGGAAGAAGATGTGGCAGTCTGCTTCTATAGAGATTACAACCGCCAGAACTCAGTGAAGCAGTTTTACTATGTCCTGTGGGTCGATATAAGTAGGAATTGGCTTGATAGCAATAGGTTTAAACATTTTCTGTCCTCTTCGATTACCTTTATATAATTAGATTATTAATACTCACCAACAAGTAGAGATTTTGGCACTAAACCTCTTGTTAAAATGATGCATTACATTTTTTTTTTTTTTGCATTACATTTTTTTAATGTGAAAAATCAAACGTGCACAAGAGAGAACAATGAATCCTCATATGCTTCTCATATTGTTTTAATGACTGTTAAGAATTTGCCACGCTTACTTCAAAATGATGCATTTTTAAAAGTCTGCTATATGTTGACTTAAAATCAAAACATGCTTTAAAAGCCTTGGAATGTGATTTATGCATTATATTAGAAATATTGTTTGCTAGTTTTGACCAATTTAAATCCTGGAAAAAAATAATTTTCCAGTTGGTTGGAGGGCTTAGAAAATTGGATTGATATGAAATAATTATACAATGTATCATCCTGTGAAAAATCTGTTATAAAAGGCTTTTTAGAGACTACGAATCAAATTCTAAAGTGTAAAGGAAGGGAATAATTTATCTTGCTAAGACATTCTGAATACATGAGCGATAGACATTGATCCTGATAAAACATCTGCTTTCAAGAAGCCTGTTTTCTTATTATCTAGCTTTAAAGTAGTTCCTCCTTAGGTAAGTGGTCCGTTCTTAGATATGTCTAAGCAGATGCAGACATAAAGATATATCAAAACAGCATATTATAGTAGATTGGGAGGGTTATCCAGCCTGTTTTACACCTGTTGCCCATTGAGTGACCCTCTAGAGCAGAGTCGAACTGCCCCACAGGGTTTCCAAAGCGATAATCTTTTCTGAAAGCAGACTGCACATCTTCCTCCCAGGGAGCAACTGGTGGCTTCAAACTTGGTTGACAGCCAGGCACCACTGTGCCACCCCAGGATGTAAAGAAAGAGCATCTGCTTTAGAAGACTGTATCTGGAAGCCAAACACAGTCTTGAAGTAAAGCAGCTCTTTTTTTTGGTGGTTTTGTTTTTGTTTTTTCCTATTTTTTTGCAGGGCAAGTGATAGGGTAGGAATAAGAGATAGAAGTAATCAGGAAGATTTAGATAATGTAATTTTTCCATGTTAACATGTTAATATGTAACTTTAAAAAACATTGTGCCTAATATATAACAAAGTATATTGACGCTATTATGTATGACCTCTTAAGTTGCCTTATTCTATCATTTAAAATTAAAGCTCATTTATAAATATGTATCAGACAGAATATCTCAGAGAAAGAGAATCCTTGGACTGAAATGGAGAAAATCAGAGTTTGTGTTCGAAAACGACCTCTGGGTATGAGGGAGTTACGTCGTGGAGAAATTAACATTATTACTGTGGAAGGCAAAGAAACTCTACTTGTGCATGAGAAAAAAGAAGCAGTTGACCTCACACAGTATATTCTGCAGGTAAGATGGTTCCTTTTTGTGTTTAAAACTGGTATTGTTGCAGTCTGCTCAGAGGCACTTGGGAACAAGGGTCTAGTGATCATCTACCTTAGAAAAAAGAGCCATTGAAAAACCTAAGGAGCACAGTTGTTGTTGTGGTTGTGTGCTGTGGAGTCAGTTCTGACCCATAGCCACCCTGTACAGGGTTTCCAAGGCTGTACAGGGTTTCCAAGGCTGAGCAGAGAGCCTCATCTTTCTCCCACGGAACAGATGGTAGTTTCGAACTGCTGACCTTGAGGTTAGCATCCTGATTTGTAACCACTATGCTACCAGAGCTTCTTAAGAGGAGCACAGTTGGGACCACCACAAGTCAACTCAGAGGCAACTGGTTCATGGGCGTGTTCCTGGGTGGTGCAAATGGTTGGTAAGTGAAAAGTTGGAGATTTTGAGATCATCTGGAAATCTGTTTGAACCGCAAGATCGGTGGTTCAAACAAACCAGCCATTCCTTAGAAACGCTGTATGAGTCAGAACTGACTCCACGGCACTTAGCAACAGAGGTGCCTCATAAGAAAGACCTGGCAATCTGCTAAAAAATCAGCCACTGAAAAGCCTATTGGGTAATGAAACAAGCTATATGAATGGTTGAATGTGAAGCTGATGATGTGCCCTGTAAACTTTCACTCAATCCAAAATAAAAACATTTAAAAAAAAAAAAAAAAGCCTATTGGGTAGTCCTTTCTGACCCACACGGGGCCACCACAGTACTGGCATTGGCCGCAAAAACCAAGAAAGAAACTTAAGTGATTCAGGGCCTGGCTGTGGTCTGCTAACTTAAGTTGCTCTCTCGACCCTTTAAAAATCCCTGTGACGACCAGTGAGTTACAGATGTACCACACGTGGCTGCTGTGCGGTTAGGTCTGATGAGCAGTCTGAACAACATAAGCCCTTTATGAACTCCTCTAAGACAGCAGGTTTGGGCTCACGGTTCGGGAGGGAACCGCCTGTGCCCTGGCCCATGGCCAGGCAGGCCTAACTTAAGGTGGGCATCCGAAAGGGGCAGAGTGAACACAGTGAACTTCCGGCGGTTTATCAGTAGTTAAATGGGGATGAAATCTTGCCCAGGGCCACCGATAGACTCGGCATGAGTGCTGGTTGGAGTCACGTGGGACAGCCCCAAAGACCAGAGAGCCCACAGGACTCTCAAACTGCAAGCTATCAGCACCAACCGTCCCCGGGTCTGCGCCCACCAGGCACCAAACGCATCTGTCCGACAGTGCAGGTGCCACAAGTGAGGGCAGCCAGGGACTGTATGGCCACTGCCCAAACAGCTCTGGCCTCTAACAAAGCAACTCCCTGTCCCCAGGACACCACCACCAAGTCCCCTCCTCCCCCTTCCCTCCCCCTTTCCCTTCTCCATCCTCATCCCCCCATCTGTTGTCCACTCCGCCTGGTTCTCGGGTAGGGGCTCTCGATTGGCTCGTGTGATGGACGCTCTCTCTGGTTGGTCGAGGCACGAGGGCAAAGGCGATTATTGGGAAGGCACAGTCTTTCATCTCAGTCTTGAGCTCTTGACTGGTGGGTAGCCAGCCAAGCGTGCACGCTCCAGCCTCTTAAGACCGGTGGCCGCCATCAATGTTGTTTAGGTTCCCGTAGTCTTATCTATCTGCACCGCTCATCCACCACATCCTCCGCCGTCCCCAGCCGCCGTCATGATGGTGAAGCTCGCGAAAGCCGGGGAAAAATCAAAGTGATTCCAAGACAGGATGAGGAACTGTCAGAAGATGAAGAGGAAAGCAGTGGAGAAGAGGTTGTCGTTCCTCAGAAAAAAGGCAAGAAGAATACCACACTGCCATCAAAGAAGGTGGTGCTTTTCCCTACAAAAAAGGTAGTTGCCACACCAGCCAAGAAAACAGCTGTCACCCCTGGTAAGAAGGCAGCTGCCGCAGCAGCTAAAAACATAATTACAGCAGCCAAAGCAGCAGCAACACCTGGCAAGAAGGGAGCCACCCCAGGCAAAGCAGAGGTGGTGACCTCGGGTAAGAAGGGAGCTGCTCCTCCAGCCAAGGGGGCAAAGAATGGCAAGAATGCCAAGAAGGAAGAGAGTGATGAAGAAGATGATGAAGACAGTGAGGAAGAGCATGAGGATGAATTTGAGCCCATCATGACCACAGGAGCAGCTGCCCCTCACTTTGATGACGAGGATGATGATGACAGTGATGAAGATGAGGAGGAGGATGATGAAGAAGGTAACTGAAGAAGAGGCCATGGACACTACGCCAGCAAAGGGCAAGAAAGCGCCTGCCAAGGTGGTTCCTGTGAAAGCCAAGAGTGTGGCTGAGGACGTCGCTGAGGAGGAGGAAGATGATGATGATGAGGAAGATGATTAGGAAGAGGATGAAGAGGAGGCAGAACCTGTCAAAGAGGTACCTGGAAAACGAAAGAAGGAAATGGCCAAACAGCTGCTCCTGAAGCCAAGAAGCAGAAAGTGGAAGCCGTAGAACAAACTACAGCTTTCAGTCTATTTGTTGGAAACCTCAATTGTAACAAGTCTGTTCCAGAATTAAAAACTGGTCTCAGTGACCTTTTTGCTAAAAATGATCTTATTGTCATGGATGTCAGAATTGGCATGACTAGGAAATTTGGCTATGTGGATTTTGAATCTGCTGAAGACTTGGAAAAAGCCTTGGAACTCACTGGTTTAAAGCTCTTTGGTAATGAAATTAAACTAGAGAGACCAAAGGGAAAAGACAGTAAGAAAGACTGAGATGCCAGAACACTCTTGGCCAAAAATTTGCCTTACAAAGTCACTCAGGATGAATTAAAAGAAGTGTTTGAAGATACCATGGAGATCAGATTAGTCAGATGGAAAGAATAAAGGATTGCTTATCTTGAATTTAAAACAGAAGCTGATGCTGAGAAAACCTTTGAAGGAAAGCAAGGAACAGAGATTGATGGCCATTGTATATCCTTGTACTACATTGGGGACAACGGTCAAAATCAAGACCACAGAGGTAGGAAGGCAAGTACCTGGAGTAGTGAATCGAAACACTGGTTTTATGTAACCTCTCCTACAGTGCAATAGAAGAAACTCTCCAGGAAGTGTTTGAGAAGGCAATTGCTATCAAGGTGCCTCAGAACCAGAACGGCAAATCTAGAGAGTTTGCATTTACAAAATTAGCTTTATGTGAAGATGCTAAAGAAGCTTTAAATTTTTGTAATAAAAGAGAAATTGAGGGTAGAGCCATCAGGCTGGAATTGCAAGGATCCAGGGGATCCCTTAATGCAAGAAGCCAGCCATCCAAAGCACTGTTTGTCAAAGATCTCTTCTGTGGACACTGAGGAAACATTGAAGGAGTCATTTGATGGGTCTGTTCGTGCTAGGATAGTCATAGACTGTGAAACAGGCTCCTCCAAAGGGTTTGAGTTTGTAGACTTCAACAGTGAAGATGCTGAAGCCATCAAAGAGGCCACGGAGGATGGGGCAGTTGATGGAAACAAAGTTACCTTGGACAGGGCCAAGCCTAAGGGTGAAGGCAAGGCGGCTTTGGGGGACGAGATGGAGGCCAAGGAGGATTTGGAGGCAGAGGAGGCTTCCTTGGGAGGCAGAGGAGGAGGAGATCACAAGCCACAAGGAAAGAAGTTTGAGTAGATCCTCCGTCCCTGTCTTTTCCCTCTTCCATTTGAAAGCAAGGACCCTGGGGTTTTTACTCAGTGGATCATGTCAGAGCCTTCTGAGGACATTCCGAGACAGTAGCCCTGTGGTCTACTTAAAAATCCTATGGAACACATTTCAAAGAGAGCTGCCCTGTGGTTTTGACTAGATTTGAATTTATATTAAGTTTTATCCCATGTACAAAACTATTTTTTTCCTACAAATAGGTTTTTTGTTTTGTTTTGTTTCATTTTTTAGTTGGGGGGGGATGTAAAGGTAAGCAGGATGTTTTATCATGGTTTTTGCTTCTGTGACTATGGGACAAATTAAAAAGCCCTAAACTCTGAAAAATAAAACGAGTATTGTCAAGTATGTCATTTCTTTTGCTTTTACTTGTGGTGGTAGTATCCAAATTCTAAAATCCGGTTTCTGATTTGGGTGTTGGCACTTATTCCTAATGTGACATGTTAAATCATTGATACACTAGACCTTAGTTTTCTTTAAATATGATACAAGAGATACCAAGACAGTTCCTCCACTCATGTGCAGTGGTGTTACGTACACAACCATTTAACACTCTGCAAGAATGTAACAATACCATAAGTACACCTACACTTGCCTATAATACCCAGTTGACCAGGGTTCAATGGCTGGATCAGAGCTCAACCAGAATAAGTAGAGGGGAAAAAAGAATAATCTGATACAATTTGATGAATTTGACATACACCTATAGAAGCAGTAGCTTAAAAGAGTGAACAAATCTTCATAGTGAGAATCATTCCCACCGCCTTCGCACATGGAGAGGACAGGGATGGGCAACTTGAACATGGGCTACCCAGAGTGGGGGGGCTACAGTGGCAAGAAGTGACTGGCTTTCAAGAGGAAACCTAGATCCAGAGGGCGTGGAGCAAGGTAGAGTCTCCACGAGTAGTATCCATTCTGCCTAGTCGGGGCTGATGAAAGAAGATGCGGATAGGTCTCTTGAGATACAATAGCGAATAATTGTTATCGGGACTGATTGTAAGGGCTGGAAATGTAAAGGTAGATGTTTTGTAGCAAAAGGAGGGGAGGAATTAACTTTTCAGTCTAGGGGTGGAGGTCTCTGGGACCATCAAGGGAGAAGAGCAGAGAAAGGAACCCTACCCAGAGAAGCAGTGAGAAGCAGTGATGCCAGAGATGGAGGCAGAGACGCCAATGTGGAGAGATGGAGCTGTTGGGGACTTTGGACCCGAAGAGGGAGAAGGGGCTGTGTGCTGACAACCAGGGGGGGCAGGATTGCGGGATATATATATATATATATATATATAATGGATACAGCTTCAACAAAAGGAGAGATGAGGGGACAGGAATAATTTAAATAATGAATT